ATTTTGCCACAAATATGTTCTAATTTGCACAAAAAATTGAGATGATGATTGAAAGAATAACAGATGAATGATATGATATAAGAAAGTATAAAAAATGATTGAAAAATCAAAATTCAAAAGTCACACTAATTCCTACTAATGTGCAGCATTAAAAACGATTACTTTCAATTTGCGTTTTTACTTTTTCATTGAAAATATGAAACTATTTTACCAGGCAACTACTGTTCAGTTGAACCATGTGAAACAGTTTTATGTTGAAATTTTCGCGAACGGGGTTACTCATGAACTTTTATAGTCGTACTTTCTATTAATATTGTAGGCATCAGTATAAACTTTATAACTGCGTATGTATGAATATGAGCTTAAATTTACAAGACAGGAACCGAATCAAAATCTATTTGAGAAAAAGCAAATAAAGGTACGGGACTGGATTAGGTCGCCAAAAATTCGATGAAATATTACAAATTTTATGAGGCTAGTATCAAGCTTGTTCAATTCACTCAAGACCGTGCTTATTGAAAGAATTTTAACTGAGGGTTCACGCTTGGCACACCCTACGGGGCCGAGGATTAATGTTCATCTCCCGGAAATCATTAGCACGTGTTCGGCATGCATGTATGCATGTATGCGTCCGAATATTAATGAAGTTGGTGGCGTTCGGGCCACCGTAGATCCTGCTCGCGACAAAATTAATCACTGATACCTTAGTGCGCACGCAACTCTTACATGTCCACATATAAATTATTATTTGGCAAAAAACTACCTCATACGTTTGCAGATTCGCTTCCGCTCATCTCGAAGACTTAGAAAGGCAGCCCAAACATATTAGTAAAAAAGAAGGTAAAGCAAGGAAAAGAAGAAAAAAGCGGATCACAAAACGGGTTCCCTTCACACTTCTAAATCAGCTGGCGTGTTGTCCATTGCGGGATGGCTGCTATTTATATATTGTATTCATATACAGGGGGGGGGGCAAAAAAAAAAGACATTTTGCCTATGTCGGACTTCGGCTCTTTTTTCTTCGC